AAGGAGGGGCTCCTGTGTCCTGTTTTCTTCCTCCTGCTGCTGCTTCTGCTTCTGCTGCTGCTGCTGCTGCAGAAGTTCCCTACTTTTGCTGCTACTTTCCGTATTGCTGCTTCTGCTTCTGCTGCTGCTGCTGCTGCTGTTCTGCTGTTGCTTTAAGGGTGCTCCCAGGAGACGATGCTGCAGTCTATCGAGGTAACTAGACAGACGTATACACACACGTGCATCAGCAGCAGCATCAGCAGCAGCAGCAGCAGCAGCAGCAGCAGCAATCTATATTTCAGGGTAGTTTACTAATGCTGCTGCTACAGATGCTCTAGGGCTTCATACACACTCGTTCTGGTGTCGCTCATACTACTGGTCTTCTGCTGCTGCTGCTGCTGCTGCTGCTGTTACGGCTGCTGCTGCTGAGTCAATAGCAACAGCTGCAGCAGTTGCTGCAGAAGAAGAAGAAGCAACAGCAACAGCAGCAGCAGCAGCAGCAGCAGCAGCAGCAGCAGCAGCAGCAGCAGGGTCACGCTGCACCGACGAGGGACCCTAGGGAGAGGCAGAGATCTGTCTCAGGTGTATCTTCTGACGCAGAAGCAAACAATCAATTGCAGATATATTCACCGATCATTGCTGCTGCAGCTTCATGCTGCTGCTGCTGCTGCTGCTGTTGCTGCAGAATAGCAAAGGGGGCCCAATCCCAGCAGCAGCAGCAGCAGCAGCAGCAGCAGCAGCAGCAGACACAGCAGCACAGAGTCGCAGCAGCATCGCGACAGCAATTCTCTCGAATTACCGAAATTAAATTATTATTTTTATATTTTATTTATTTATTTTATCGCAGCTTCTAATTTCGCTTCCATTGATCTCTCAGGCGTCATCTTCTCTCCTCTGCAGCAGCAGCAAGAGCACTAGCAGCAGCAGCAGCAGCAGCAGCAACAGCAGCAGCAGAAGCTGCTGCTACAACCCACGGCTTCATACTTCCACCAGGAGCTCTACCATGAACACCAACAACTCCTGGGCCCACTCGCCTGCTGCTGCAGCAGGAGGTGCAGCAGATGCAGCAGATGCAGCAACAGCAGCAACAGCAGCAGCAGCAGCAGCGCAGCCTGCTGCTGCACAGAAACCCGTTGATCCTGCAGTCTGTGCAGAAGTTGAGCGACGCATGCAGCACGCCGATGACTTCTGGAAGCAGCTGGAAGCAGCAGCAGCAGCAGCAGCAGAAGTGGGGCCCCAGAGAGCACCACGGTAAGCCCTCGCTGCTGCTGCTGCTGCTGCTGCTGCTACTGCTGCTGCTGCTGCTGCTGCTGCAGGTTGAGTGTTCGTGTTTCAGTGTCTTGCGGCGATGCATACGCCTGCAGCTGCCAGCAGCTTGCTGCCCCTGTGCTGCTGCTGCTGTGGTGTACATACAGCCCAGGCAGCTGTATACTATCGGAGTTTCCATGCATGCATGCATGCACGCATGCATGCATGCAAGCATGCATGCATGCATGCGTGTATGTATGCATGCATGCATGCATGCGAGGTGTCTGTACAGTGGGATGCAGGTGCATATTGGGGGTATTTGTTTGTGTGTGTTTGTTTGCTGCATCTTCGCTGTTGCTTCTGTCTGTCTGTGTTTCTGTATTTCTGCTGCTGCTGCTGCTTGTACTGCTGCCATTCATACTCCTGCTGCTACTGCTGCTACTGCTGCTGCTGCTGCTGCTGCTGCTGCTGCTGCTGCAGGTTTGTTTCTGTATTCCGACAAGCCCACGAGAAGAAGCTGCAGGCAGCAAACTTAGAGCAGCTAGATCAACTAGCAGCACAGATATTCTCCGCTCTGCAGCAGCAGCAAAACTAAGCAGCAGCAGCAAAACTAAGCAGCAGCAGCA